GTTTTCCTTCAAACATCAACATTCAGAATAAATGAGAAATCATGTTTTATTCAATATATTTATTTTTCTGTTTTGTTTAAAAGTGACTACATTTTAGCTATACTACGAGTTAAAAAGACTTTCTGTGTGTGTGTAAGGAGGGATCGCTTTTCCAGGAATGAAAGTACCATTGAGACCATACTTTGCATGGTCCCAGATCTAAATGGCCAAAATAAATAATAATTACAATGATATTATTATTATTATTGGACATATTCTTTGTTAAGCACTGTATTAATGTTTAACTTAGTACATCTCTTTGCTTATGATAACCATATGAGTTGGGAACTGTTGCACCGATCTGAAGTTTATACATGACACATACAAAAGCAGGGCAAGAGACTCTAAGGAACTGGTCCAGGGTCACAAAGCAGGTACATGGTAGAGGCAGGATTCAGCTAATACCTGGGATTATTCAAAACTTCAAATCCTGTAGAATTTGGAGGTATGCCACCATGCAGACTGAGTATACCATGTCCTCAATAAAAATGACAGAGGGAAGTGTTTTGTTGGTATCAGCCCTAAGGCTTCTGGTCTTTTTTTTCTTGCTGGGTTTTCCAGAGAGTGTCCAACTTCAACCAGTTTTCTGGAGTACTAGGACAGGTATCTGGGTACCAGAAGTGACCACAACAGGATATAGCAAGGGAAGATTAGCCCAACCAGGAAGTAGACTGAACAGTTGAAAGGAGGTTCTCAAAAGGCATGAGGAGGGAAAAATGCATGACATGCATTTCCTAAATAACCCAATTGTTGGGGTTCTCCCATGCTGAGGGATTGAGGAGAAAATATGATCAAACCCTTGCTGAGGATTTGGCCATTGGCATGGCCTTCTGGTTAATCAGGCCGTTTCCTAAGTAGAGGCAGGTCAATACCATGGGCAATAAGGGTCCAGGTGATCCTGAGGGCAGGGCATTTACAGAGGCAGCTGAAAGGCCCTCTACCAACCAGGCGTGAGACAAATGTGATTCTCTGCCATCCACAACCAGCCCAGAGAGCCCATCACCACCAATAGTATTAAAAAAATGGTGAAGAGGGTGAGCTCTGGAGCCAGACTCAGCTATTAACAGGCCTGGGCCCTTTGGCCCTTGTGATACTCAAATTCTTCATTTGCAAAATGGTACAATGGTATCTTCCTGATGGGACCGTTGTGAGAATTAAATGAGGAATTATTTAACTATTGTAAGTGAACTAGAGATAATCCCTGATTTTCTTCACTATAATATTTCTGCACATAATGTTTCTTAATACAAAGAAGGGACTGAATAAATATTAATAGTTCTTACATGAATGATCAAATAAAGACCCTGCTCATAAAAGCACTTAGTACAGGGCCTGGCATAGAGTAGAAACTCAGAACTTTGCTAGCGTAAACATGAAATTTCACACAAGAGAAAGACTCATCAAGACTGGGTACTCTCAGGGAAACCCAACAGTTAGGAAATAATTTTATGATGCAAGCTAATGTTTAAATAATGCTTACTGTCTGTGTTAGACACTCTTGTAACCAAGCATTTAATATTCATCAATACACTAAAATCTCTAGGCACCCCATGATGTACAGGGTATTTTTACACACCCACCCCATCTTGCAGATGAGAACACTGAGGCATAGAGAAGATCATTATGTAATTTAAGACCACAGATCTCATAAATGGCAGAACTTGGATTTAAAAACAGAAGGTTTGGCTCCAGGGTCCATATTCTCAATCACTGTCTACCATTGCTGTTTATTTATGAGACTTCCAGGGTGTGAGGACTTGCCTCTTTGTACCTCTTTGAGCCTACCCTCATCTCCATTCTAGAGGTAGTAGGGCTTCTTGGAAAGAGAACCATGTTAGCAGGGAATTGTCTATAGAAATTGGGGAAGACCATGTGGGCTAAACTGGAAATGTACTTTTTCATACAAATGCTTTTTAATAATCAAGCAGAATTACGATTTATTAAAATTAAATTGTGGCTCCTTTTCCATCACAAAAACTGTATTTCTGGTTGTTCAATGGAAAGATCATACATAAAGAAAGCAAAAAACAGGTAGTATTTGGCAACACTGGTCATAAAAAAGAATAATGGAAATATTATTTTTTAACTAAAATAACAGTGGAAAGAAGTCGGAAGATGGTGTTTTAGGAAGTTTTAAAAATCTTTATAATCTTTGTTTTTTAACTCCATAATAATAAATATTCACAATATTTTAATAAAAATGTGTTTTTATAAAGAATCCTCCCACCATGGTGATAATAGAGAAACCTTGGTTATTGACTCTCAGTGACAGCTTATAAATGACATATAGAAAAATCTGAATAACCTGGAAGCTTTTTTTTTTTTTTTTTTCTTTGAGGTATATCCCTTCATCTGGCTCTGGATCCAGTCAATCCTACCTTTCAGAGATATCAATTTATAAATCACCTCTTCCGCATCTCATTCCCTTCTATCAATTTCTCCTTCTCAGCATTTTAATTTGACCAAAATCTCTGCCATCTTAAAAATACTACTTTTGGTCTTATGTTTGCCCATATTGCCCTATTTCTCACTCATACTGAATAATATTTTGTAATATTAAAATGTTTATCATTTAAAAATTATCTAACATTTTATAACTAAATTTAACTCATTTATATTTATTAATTGAACATCTATATACCATTGCATTGGTATCTTTCCTTTGCTAGGTACATTTTTTTTAACTTGACTGTTATCAGTGGATTGGATTTACTTATTTTTGTGTTTATATAGTAGTTTCACAGTTTTATATCTTATTTCTATGTTTTGACATTTATATGTACACTTTAAATCACATACATGGAAAATTACCTGTCCAGTGTATCTTGAGTCAGTCAGTATCCTCTGAGCAGGAAAGAAACGTTAGTATGTTTCACTCCTCTCCATTCTCACTTCCTTATCTATGATACAGTGACCTTTCGAAATTTCAATTCCAGAATCACATTAAAACTATTCACACTTTAGAAGCATTTGGCTTGGCTATGCTTCTATCCAACTTATCAAAGTGTGAATGAAGAGGTTGTATTAATTCTGCCTTCTTTTAAAGGTCTATTTCTTTTTTTTTCCTTTTGTAAGGTTTTTTATACATTTTCACTTATTATTTTTGTTGTATATATTTGAGGAGTACAACACGATATTTTGATATACATTACATAGTGAAATGATCACTACGGGTAAGTAGATTAACATATTCATCCCCTTCCTTATTTGTCTCTTTCTGTGGTAAGAGCACCTAAAATCTACTCTCTTAGAAAATTTTTAGTATACAATATTATTAACTATAGTCCTCATGCTGTACATTAGATATCTAGACTTATTCCCCCTATCTACTTGCAAGTTTGTACCCTTTGACTTATAAGGTCTCATTTCCTTCTCCTCCTTGCTCCCATAACCACTGTTCTACTCTCTGTTTCTTTGTATTCAACTGTTGTGTTTTTTTTTTTTTTTTTTTGATTCCACAATTTGACCTTATATATTACTGGTTACTTGTTTTCTACCCTTTCTTGTATGTCATTTTCTTCTACCATAGATGCTTTGGTAATTTTCCTGTGGTATATTTTCAAGGAACTCAAAGAGACTCTGTGGACGGTAAGGTTTCTGATTTCGTACGTGTTAGCAAATAGTCAAGCGCCTGTTTGATCAGATCCACTGTCTTCTAGTTTACAATGTTATCTAGCCCACAATGATAGCTAAAGACAATCAGAACTTTAGCCTTTAAAGAGAAATGGCTTTAGCTTTTCTATTTTCAAGTTTTTATCTTTGGATTTGGTTCTGACATTTTATCATACTGTTTATAGGGGTGGGTCGTTTATTGCCATCAGTTTTTCTGTTGCTTAATGTTCAAAGGCCCCATTCAATTTAAAGATACTTTTTATTCTTCAGTTCTAGAAAATTTTCTTATATTATAATTATTTGTTATATAATTTTCTTCTTTCCTTCTAGAACTCGTTCTTGATAAACGGTGGAAATTTTGGATCTATATTCTATGCCTTTAAAATTATTTTTTTGCATCACCATGAGCCAGGATCATCTCCTCATCCCAAGATCCTTAATTAAATCATATCTGCAAAGACCTTTTTTCCATATAAGGTAATATTTACAGGTTCCAGGGGCAAGGACCTAGTATCTTTGAGGGTCCTCATTCAGTTTCATAAGGGCCCTTTTTGTTCCTTCTGATTGTAGACCCTGAAGCTGGAGTTTTATTATGTGCTGGAAGTCATGACGTTGTCCTCATCCATCTGATCCAACTTTGCTCGACTTTCTCACTTTCTCCACCCTGTCTCCTTTTTCCTGGCCCTTTTGCTTCCTTCTTCCACCCATTCAATCTTTCCACTCACTTACCTCTTTTCCTTTTTCTTTTTCACTCTCCCTTTCTCTCCTTCCTTCACCACTTTCTTCTTTCCTCTCACTTTTACCTTCTTTCCCTTCCATCTTTGCTTTCTGCATTCTTTTTCCCTCTACCCCTCCTCATCTCCTCGGTGCCTCCCCTCCACCTTCTCCTTCCCCTTTTCCCATCCTCCTTCCGCTTCGCTTACACCATATTCTCACAGGTTGTCTCTGCCTAATATCTCCACAGCTCCAATCAAATATTCTCACCTTGAACCACATCAGGAATTCTTCATCATTTCTGGTTTGCTGAATTTATTTTTTGTTCTTGCTTTCTAGGATCTTAATTCACTTAATTGTAAAAAAGAAAAATCAATTTCTGAAGTCACATTAAGTTTTTGCAGGTTGGCCGGGCACAGTGGCTCACATCCATAATCCCAGCATTTTGGGAGGCTGAGATCGGCAGATCACTTGAGGTCAGGAGTTCCAGACCAGGCCGGCTAACATGGTGAAACCCCCTCTCTCCCAAAATTACAAAAATTAGCCAGGGGTGGTGGTGCATGCCTGTAGACCCAGCTACTTGGGAGGCTGAGGCACAAGAATCACTTGAACCCAGGAGGCAGAGGTTGCAGAGAGCCAAGATCATGCCACTGCACTCCAGCCCAGGCGATAGAGTGAGACTCCATCTCAAAGAAAAAGAAAAAAGTTTTTGGAGGAAGGAATAATATTCTTTACAATTTTAATACCTGGAAATGCCTTTTTATTTACAATATTTCTTTAGACTGTGAACTTCCCATAGCAAAGACTTTTCCATATTTGTTTTAATTTACTTAATGCCCAGCACATGGGGTTACTCTTACATGTTTCTGAAATGCATGCCATTGTGGATTGTGTGAAATGAAATGCATGTGGTTTTTTAACTGATCACTCAAGTTGATTAGACTGCCACGTCCCATGCGAAAAGAGGGTGCTCAGAAAGCCAGGATTGGATAATAATTTGAGAATACTCAAGTTTCTAGTAGTCCTAGTCAGTTGAACCTAAAAATGCCATTAACCCTTTCTCAAAGAAGCAGATTGGAGGTGAGTAGCAGTTGTGTGGCTTTTTGGTATGCAGCTGTTCACTTTCAAAACTTAATTTAAAACAATAAAAAATGTACCTCGAAATCATTTTGTTTCCCTATTTATTTAATGTGATTTATTCTAAATGCGTTTCATATCACCATAATGTATTGGAGCTCAACCACCACCTGTTATTTTGTAGGGGAAATAAACAAGACCTCTCTCATCAGATGAGTTAATTACACTGACATATTCACTCCTCCCCAGAGATACCATAAACTAAAATGCCGCAAAGCTTTAATTCAAACAAGCAGGCTGGAAACAAGAGCTATTGCAGTGGTATAATTTTCTTTGGGAGAATCAAAAGCTCAACACAGGCTTGAACTTAGGGGGCAAGATAGCTGGAGTTGATCAAATGGAGGCTTGTCTAGGGTCGCATAATAAATCTGTAGGTGAGTTTAGCTTGAACCCATTTCTCAATGTTTTGGCACTATTTTCCAACCTTTGTGCTTCTGAGCATCATGTGGTCATTTTTAAAACTGTTTCATCCCGTTATTTCTCCCTCCCCTCAGGTGTTTGTCTGGGGATGGCTGTGCACCCGGAAGGCCATTCGCTCCATGAAGAATGTGAAGGAGGTACCTGGTCCTACCTGGATTCTTGGGTGTGCGGGCAGCAGCAGCAGCAGCCATAGTGAACTTCATCCTAAGGAAATTAAGCACGTGTTGCATGAGGCTGCTGTGGGGGTGCCAGGTCAGATTCTCCAGTGGTAGAACCTGAGATAAGGATTCATGGGCAAGGATTTACTGAGAATGTTCCCCTAGAAGAATTGTGTAGGGTGATGGGAGAAGCAGCCCAGGGAAGGGAAAGAAGCCAGGCAAGATGTGACTTCAGGCAAATCTCAGCCTTAGCCTGATCCTGTGGGGAGCTCAGGAGTATAAATCTCACCCCAGATTTTTTTCTCAACTGGCAGCAAAAGAAGTGGGTTTCATACTCCTCCTACCATTGGTCCCTGGCTAAGAGCCACTGGAAGAGGCATAAACTCCCAGACACTTTTGGTTATCTTCCCTGTAAGCAAAGCAGCCCTCATAGCCTGCAGCAGCTCCTTAAAAAGAATCACAGGTGTAGGAAAAAGCCCAAAGAAAGGGGGGAAGTGGGTATATGACCCACAAGAGACTGTAAGAAGGATTCAAGGTGGCGTGAGAGGAGAACAGCAGAGTCTGCTGTCCCCAGTAAGGAGTATCAAGTACTCTGTGCCTACAAGGTGGAAGCTGGGGGAGGACCCCCACCTAAAGGCAGAGTACCTACAGTCTATATAGATTTTAAGGACCTCTAAAATATTTGAGACCTAAAAACTAAAAAAAAAAAAAAAGCATAATTGTAACAAAAAATTCACTTGAAATTAATGCATTTATTTATTCAACCAACATTTGTTAGATATTTACTAGGTTCCATTCTGTTCTAGGTGCTGGAGTTTCTGTAGTGGATAAAACACAAAAATACCAGACCTCATGGTGAAAAGAGAACGACAATAAACAAGATAAATTAGATCTATGGTGTTGAGGAGGGAGGCGGGACTTTAGTCTGGAGACTGGGTTCCGATGACTCCAGACCAAATTGAAGACTAGTTAAAACAGGGACCCGACGGGAGCAGCTTTCCCTAAGACACCTCACCCGTCTGCCATGTCAGTTTACCATTGCCATGGCAACACCCGGGAGTTACCACCCCTTTCCATGGCAATGACCCAAGGATCCAAAAGTTACCACCCTTCCTCTGGAAATTTCTGCATCAACTGGCCCTTAATCTACAAGTCATTAAAAGTAAGTGTAAATATGGCTGCAAAACTGCCCTGAGCTGCTACTCTCGGCACACTGCCCATGGGGTAGCCCAGCTCTGCAGGAGCAGTCACAGAGCTGTAATACTGCCGGAGCTATAACACTGACGCTTCAATAAAGCTGTTTTCTTCTACTCTACCACTGGCTCACCCTTGAATTGTTTCCTGGGTGAAGCCAAGAACCCTCATGGGCTAAACTCCAATCCGGAGTTGCCTGTCCTGCACCAGCATCTTATATTCATAAGTTCCATAAAGAAAATAAGGCAGGGGAGGGTCCATGGTGGTGTGGGCAGTGTAAGTTGTACTTTTAAATAGGGTGGTCAGGGCCGCATTCTCTGCTATACATAATGATTGCTGGGAACTTTTGGGCAAATGAGTAACTCAGAACTAAATAAGTAGCTTAATAAACAGTCTTTCCATTTGTTTTTCACAAAATACATTTTTAGTTCATATACAATGGAAGCAGGGTCACATATTATACAATTCCAGGGAGCTCCACTCAAAACTGGGCTTGTCAACATGGCAACCCAGGGAGTGAGTGCATTTTAATATTCTTGACATAACCCAAGGTGGTACCTCCTATGACAAGAATGGCCAGGATTACAAAAGTCTTAAAAGAGCCCTTCTCACTTTGGTCACGTAGCATTGCAGGTCTGCAAGTCAAATGACAGGGCACCCTAGGAAAAGTGGTGTTTGCCAACTGAACTCTTGGAGGTAGATTGATAAATCCACAAACCAATTTATTCATTTACAGCAGGCGATGTAACCGGCACAATAACTCAATCAGTCTCTTTCCTGGTATTGACTTACCTGAGGAACCAAATTAATTATCAGAAGGTTGCTCTGCTAAGTATGGAATTAGAAAGAAAGGAAATTGGATGGTCTTAAGGGATTGTTCTTACAGGCTTGGATAAATCCTGATAAATTGCCTTTAAAGAGAAAGGAATGCGTTGCTCTTTGAGAACCTGGCTCAGTTGTAACCACCTTCTCCTTGAACTCTGACGCTGACCCAAGTTTGTCATCCAAGGCTTTTAGTTTACACTTGTTCTTATATTACCTCGTTTCAAAAAAAAAATCTAAATTGCATTGTAAATCAATGAGATTTTAAGTGTGCTGTGTTCTGACTGTGTCCAGGGAGGTATTTTAATCTCATGGATAAATGGTAATCTTTCATCAGAGATAATTTCCTCTTTTTGATCTTTCTCTTTATTCCTTTGTCTGTCTTGCTTTTTAGGTCCTTTTTCTTTTTTCTCACCACCATAGCAAATGTCTCAAAAAACTGTGGTTGTAAAATATACAGATAACAACCACGCCTTTATTTCATCATAGTGGTTAGGAGCACACACTCCAGCTAAATCCTGGTCCTTCTTGGAGGCTGTATGATCTTAAGTAAGCTCACTTTGCTTCAATTTTCTTATTTATAAAGTGGGGATAATAACAGCCATGTTATAGAGTTATTCTGATGATTCCAAAGGGCCTCAGAGACCTAGGATCCGCAAAATCAAAAGTATGTTCATAAAAATATTAAGGAGTATATTATGTTCATAAAAATATTAAGGAGTAATTAGCCTTTTCACTTAGTTGATTTTTGGAATAATGGTGCAAGATCCATGCTGGGTAGACAGTGGTGCCTCAGTATGACAAGTGGTGGCACCAACTGTGCTAGCAGTCTTGGTATTCTGCACCACTTGCGGGGGGGGGAAAATGAAACTTAAGAACAGCCTTGATGAAGTAGTAACATTTCTTAATTTTATTAAATCTTGATTTTTTAATGTTCTGTGTGATAAAAAGGGAAGTGTATTTAAAGCACTTCTGCTATATAAGGTATCATGATGGTTGTTTCTAGGAAAACACTTGTATGATTGAATTGGGAGCTGAAGTAGACATGGCTTTCATAAAACATTTTTATTTGGAAAAATGACTGACAAATTATGGTAATTCAGACCTCAGAATCTGGCTGATTTTTTTTTTTTTTTGAAAATGAGCAAAATGAGTATCACTGCAAGGAAAACAGCAAGTGGTATTTGTTGCCAATGATAAAATCCTTATTTTCAAGCAAAAATGAGAATTTTGTAAAAGTTGAACCTGCCACTATGAGCTTGACAGCTTCCCCATGCTTAAATACTTTTCTGATAAGAATGGTGGTGATATGAACTATGTCAGTATCGGGAGTATCTTCATAACCTGCTAAGTCAATATTTTCCAGATGACCAATGTGTGATGTTACAAAACCATGCATGCATTAAAGGTCTATTCAAATTGCAAGATAGACCAAATGGATTTTAATGTAGCAGAGTATGAAAAGTCTATTGAATATGATTTCACATTCCACATTGTAGTAACCTTTAAAAACTTATTACCTGTTGAGTTTTGGTGTAGTATCAAAGAAGAAAATCCTTACTTATCTGAAAAGCTTTTTAAAATACTCTTATTTTTTCTAAGCACACACATGTTGGGACTGGATTTTCCTCATATACTTGCCTTAACCAGAACATATTATTACAGACTGAACACAGGGAAGGATAGGAGAATGTAGCTGTTTTCTACAACTAGGCATTAAAAATGTACTTCTTACTAAATCTTTTTTGTTTTGGAAACTATAGTTATCCTTTTATAGGCATATGTTGTTTATATTAACATGTAATGGATTCACTGTCATTTATTATTAATTTATTATTTTAGCATGAATTTTTAAATAAACATATTAAAACTTCCGCAGTTTTAATTTCTACCACGGCAAATGTTGATTGTGATAAGCCATATAAACAAAAACTCTCTGGGAAGCTCAATGATTTCTAAGAGTGTGAAGGCATCTTAAGACCTAAAAGTCTTGAGTGTCACTGATTTAGAACATTGCTTAGCTCATAGGAAACGGCACGTAATCCTTAACACTTTTATCGGCTAATTCTTCACACGCCTAGAATTACTTGTTCCCAAAGTATGTATAATTTTAATAAGAGTTAACTTTTATTAAAGATTTACTTTGTGTGTGCCAGACACTGTGCTATTTGCTTTGCATGTATTATCTAACCTAACTTTTAATAAAATGTGATGAGATAGGTACCAATGTTAGTTTTGTTTTATAGATGAGGGAAATGAAGTACGGAAAGGTTAGGTAATTTGACCAAGGTCACACAGCTATGGAATAGCAGAAATGAGACCCCAGGCAGTCTGATTCCAGACTGCCCCTCATGACTTTTTTTCTATGTGAGTTGTGTTTATATTATTTCCCCATTTAAGTGCTCTGAGTCCCTCACCAACTTGATTGTGGGATCAGAGTCCATTCCCCTGACTCAACCCAAGCAAGTCTCCCCAGTACTTTCTAGGAACTTCCAAAAGAGTACCTCTCTCATGGAGCCACAGTGAAGTCTGGTTACCAAACGAGTTGAAGTTTTGCCATCACCTTCCTAATGATGCTCTTCATATATAAGCTATTACCTCACAACATCTGGGACACCAACAAGTGCTGGTTCTATCAAGACTGGCTATATAATTTGCAGGATCCAGTGCAAAATAAAAATGTGGGGCCTCTTCTTTAAAAGTAAGTCTGCAGCTGCAAAGCATTGATCAAGTACAGAGTTCCATGTGAAGTGCTCTTTCAGTTGCATGCCTGGGGAATTGGCTCTGGGTTCTCTGCAGAGACGGGAAATACCACAGCCTTTCTGAATCTGTCACAGCTTGTGCCCCTTGGGCATGAAAGCAGGAGCCTCATGGCCCCACATACTTTCTTGTGAAAATGGGTCCTGCAGCTTCCAGTCTTTGGTCCTCTAGCCAGAGACCATCGAATCTAGTACACAGGGATGGAGGTGCTGATGCCTTGATACTCGCTCTGCTATCTTGTCTTTCCTCTCCTTCCAGCAGCAAAACCAAGCCTTTGTGCTCATCTGTGGTTGTGACCAGTTGGAGAGACATTAGGAGATGAGATACTGTGTTCACTCCTCACAGCTGAACCAGGGACCTGAGATATTCCATCACTATTCTATAAGTGAGTAAATTTAATATGCAGAAAGAACTGAGAACTTTTTCTTAAAAGCATGAAGAGCAAGACTTTGTCAGGGTATAGAGAAATCAAATTATAGAGAAATCAAACTATTGTTTTCTTAAGCCAAAGAATGACGCTAACTGCCTTATTTAACCAAGCCATGGGAAGTATAGAGCAGGCTGGTTTCAGACATATATGGATCTAGGGCCCTTAGCCCAGTCTGACAGTCACTATGAGAGGCTTATCCTATTTCTCTGACTGGCCTTGACTTCAGACCCAGAGCTATCCCTGGACCCATCACTGTGGCCAAGGGAAATGGTGGGACCATTGGCCCAGATTGTGCCCACTCATGTGGTCAGGAAGCGGGCAGGGGTGCTATGACCATCTCTCACCCTGGTGAGATGGGAGAGTGGAGTAGGAGCCATTTGCCCCCGAAAGTAGTAACTATTCTGGATAGAACCTTTATGGCAAAGCCATGGTTCTTCTAAAATAACCCTTTACAGGAATGTAAACCTGAATGTGGGCAGGCAGAACAATGAGAGCCAGGAAATAGGATTCAGTTTAAGAAAATCTGGTTGATTAGAAACGGACATCAGGTGAGTGCTGATGCTTATATCTTCCACAGCAAAATTTGGGAACCCAGAGAAAGTGAGGTCCAATCGGTAGAACCTCGCCATCCTGAGAGACACAGGGACTGATCCAGTGAATAATGCTCATGTGTTAGGATTTTTGGAGTTCCCACCAGTGGTTTTCCAGTGCCAGGGTATGAGAAGATAGTCTCCATGTCCAAACTCACAGTTTCAGAACAAATTTCATCAAGATAAAGGTGAAAACAAACCATGACCTGGGAATGTTGTCCGTGAGATCACTATTGCAGAATTTATTTATTGCATACCCATGTCTTACAGCAAAAGGCAAATATGCAAAGGACACTCAGGTATGAAAATCACCCCTCCTCCGTGAACTGGTGGCCTGTGAAAGAGGAACCCAGAGAGGAACTGGCATTCTTCTATTTCTATATTTCCTTCGTTTGGCACCAAAGGTAGTATTTTTGCAATATTTTGCAATATTTTGTCTATATTTGTTCTCCCAACACCCAAAATGAAGGGAGCTGATGAAGCAGAGGCAACCAGGAAGTGGGGAGGGTCACTTTCTTAGGGATGGGTGGAACCAGTGAGAAGCTGTCTGATTTGCAGTGGTTCAGTGATTTCTTAAAATTCTTTGCAGGGCTGACCTATTTCTAATTCCTCGAGCCTATAGTCTGAAAGGTCATTAATCTGGGCTCGGCTCATGGTGCTGAGGCTTAAGACTTCTAGTTCTTAAATGCCAAAGGTGTGTCAGGTTGCCTTTTGAAATGCTGGTATCTCTATTCAGGCATGCAGTGGTTAGTAGAGAGGTACATCAGCACTTCCTTTTGTCAGGGAAGCATTCACCTGACCAAAGGAGCCACCTGTGTTTTTACTTTTTTTTTTTTTTTTTTTGCCATTTGGATCTTTGCCATGGATTCAGAAGACAAACCAATCTCCCCCACACACTTTCTTTTTTCTTTTTTTTTTTTTGTCAAGTACAGGGACAAACAGGTATGTGTTTGCTAATGGGTGACAGCATCAAATGTACTTCCTGAGAGTCAAGTTGGAGGAAAACATGGAAAGGATCAATTTATTCTTGTCACTTTCTGTCTCCTCATTTTCTATAGAATGAAATCTGAGCTCTTCGTTGTTACATATGAGGTTCTTTCTGGTCCTCTTTCTGCTTCCTTCACTGATCTTCCTTCTTGCCTCCCCCCAAACTTACCTTTGACCTCTAAGAACCAGTCCTGTCTCGGTTCACATCAGGGCCTTTGTAAATGTCATTCCTGGCTTTCTCACCTGGCGGATTCCTGCTGACCTTTCGGTGGATGGTTCTTCTTTAGGAGGCCTCACCTGACTCCCCAACCCTGAAGGAGGGACTTCTCTTTGGTGTTCCCATAGCAACCAGTGCTTGCTGCAGGAACGCACTTCCTCTGCATGTAATTGCTTGTTTACTTGTCTTTCTTCCCTATTATGCCTTTTCTTGTTTCTTTCTTTTCCTCTTTCTCCTTCTCCTCCTTCATTTTAATGCATTTTCCTTGCATGAAATCCAAACATCATAAAGAATGCCATCCTCCTGGGCCACGCGTCAGATCTCTTTCATGTCTCTCTAGACACACTTACCAGCCACTTACTCCCACAGTGCGCTGGGAGCCTGACCTTGGGGTCTGCTTTGACAGGCCTTTTCCCCTCCAGCTTGCTATTGGGCTTGGCCACTAGGGACACCAAAGAAGGTTGGGGGTGGGAGGGAAAGGGTTTGATGTATGCGTCCCCTACTTCCCTCCCTGCCACATTCCCACCGCTGATTGTGTCACTCTAACTAAGGCTCTAGGTCTCCTCAGGTGTCCCTCTTCCTGCAGTCACCTCTTGGGCTCTGGTGGCACTTTTTCTTCTTGTCCTGCAGGCCTGGGCTGGTGAATGGTTCCTGCTTTCACTATTCCAGACGTCCAGCTGTGTACCTTGCTGCTCTCCTTAAACCCTGCCTCTATGTAAGGTGTCCCTGTGTTAAAAATTCCTTCCACTACCCAGGGTACGTGTGCATTCCATCATGCTGAGAGCCTCACTGATTCTTATAATCACTTCCAACCCTAGTCCTTGCCCCTTCCTCGAGTTCACCCAGTTATAACTATGTCTTCTAGAATATCACAACCCTAGATGCTGGCACAGTATCACACACATAGAAGGAGTCCAATAAATGTTGACTAAATGCTATTATTGGATCTTGGGCTCCCAGGAGAAGATGGGCTAAAAGTTGCTAATTCCAGCCAAACACTCATTTCCTCTGCACATCATAAAGATAAAACAGGATCACAGTTGTTAGAGTGGAAAATTCCCTCACTGTTACGGCAGCAAATAGCCAGTATGTGTTCCAATGAAAGACTCAGGAATGGGTATAAAAATAATCCACTGTATACCATCAAAAATTGAAAGCACATTCTTTTTCTTTGAAACAGTTTCGGCTTGTAGAAGCTTTCACTCCAACAACCATCCATCTAAAACTTCTCTCCAAGGGCACAAGTAAAATGCAACTTGTTTCATAATAAGTCCCAGGAGTTTACTTTAAAGACATGATTACCCAGAAGGCAATGAGAGCTGTCTACAATTTCTTCTGTTTTAAGAATATTTCTATCCTAATGAAAGACAAGATAGCACCAAAATTTCACTGGAAATTTTGGCTTGTGAATTATACAGGAAATAGAAATTTTGCATATCTGTGATTGATCGTGGATTGGACCTCATTCCCCCAATTATAGTTGCTCAACTATGGAGCATAATGCCCCATCAGAAGCCCACCTATCTGTCAGATTAGCAGTAGGCCAAGCTGTAAGCTGACAGCCTTTATTCTACCATGGTTTCATTGCTGGAATCAGTGACTGTTTCAAAACCAAGCTGGGGCATTGCATACTCAAGCCATTATTATAGCTACTATTAGCAGTGCCTTACCAGGTACTTTGCATGTCTTCTCTCACCCAGGCCTCCCATCAGCGCCATGAGGGGGATGCTTTTAGCATCTCCATCTCACAGATGAAGACACTGAGGCTTAGCCAGATGAAGCGGCTTCTCCAGCTGAGTGGTGCAGGCAGTACTTCCTTTGCAGCCTAGGTTCCTTCCTTTGCAGCCACGTTTCCATTCACCTGGATGGAGGTGAGTCAAACTGCCTTTGGGAACCTCCAGCTTCCTGCTGGGTTTTGCCATTAGGGGCACCAAAGAAGGTCAGAGCGTCGGAGAGAAAGGGTTTGCAAATTTGCAAATATGCAAAATTTCTATTTTTTGTATAATTCACAGGCTGGAATTTCCAGTGCAACTTCGGAGCTATCCTGTCTTTCTTTAGGTTAGAAATATTCTTGAAACAAAAGAAACTGTAGACAGCTCTCATTGCCTCTGGGTAATCATGTCTTTAGCATAAACTCCTGAGGCTTATTATGAGACAAATTGCATTTTATCTGTGTCCTTGGAGATAAATTTTAGATGGATGGGTGTTGGAGTAAAATTGAGTCTGGACTGCCTCTCTTCTTTGGTACCCACTTCTACTCTTGTACTTTTCTCATTGTGTTGCATTGGCTCATACTCAAAGGCAAAAAAAAAAAAAAAAATTTGGCACAAGCCACATTTGGTTCACAAACTACTTGCCCTCCAAGGTTCTTAAAGGGTGTGAAATTTTGCTGGATCATGCTTCAGAGTTGCTCATAACATTTCTGATTTTATTAACTGCCTCACTCCCCCATCTTTTTAGGTCCTTGGGTAAAACTCCACGAAAAAAAGAAAAACAATGACCCATTGACAGCAATCCTCTGACTGTAGCTTTTTCTGTTGTCTTTAGATTCATGGAGTAGACATTCAACTAAGCAGAGATCCTCCTCCAACCCCTACTTCTTCCCTCTCACCACACATTCCCATGCCTGGCTCTTCTTTACCTTTGAAATGTCCTCGTTATCCACATTAGTATCAGCTGGTTCCATTACGGCACAGATGTCCTGACATGGACATTCTAGGGATTTATTTCCCCACCAGGCACCGGTTTGGTAAAGTTCTCTTTATTCCACAGCATGAGCACTGTTAGCATTTTGGTCCTGACAATTCTCCGTGGTGGGGGCCATCCTGGACATTGTAAGCTGTTGAACAGCATCCCTGGTCTCTACCCATGAGATGCCAGTAGCATCTCCAGTTGTGACAAACAAAAATGCCTTCAGATATTGTCAAATATCCCCTGAGGCCAAAATAACCCCTAGTTGAGAACTACTGGTTTAGTGAATGACAAGTGGGACCTGGCAGCAATGCAGGTAACTCTGCACATTCTTACACATCAAGGCTCCTTGGAACATGTTCAGTGGTGACTGTGAGTCTCTCCCAGGAACAGGGGAGTTAGAAGCCCCCAGGGTGAGGATCCCAGGGTTTTGTTTTTTTTTTTTTTCTGAAGCCCTTTCATATTGTATGCCTATAGTAGCTCAGGGTCTTAATACATTCATTTCTGCATGGATGGGGTTTCAGGCTGCAACAAGATCTTGTAGGGACACTATCTCTGGCTATTAGGTGATCACAGTTCTGTGCATTGTCTCACCCAGTCCTTACAGTAACTCCAAAGACAGATTGTATTATGATCCTATTCTACAGATGAAGGAACTTAGGAAAGTCACACGTCCAGGTCATACAGGTAGAGAGTGATGGAGCCAAGACTTGAGGCGAGGTCTTTTTGATTCCAGGTATGGATTGGCTGATTACAACTGTTTCTTTGGTGATAAGAGAGGGTACTGGGACTCCTCTATTTGAGAAAGAAATGCAGTAAGTGAAAGAAATGATGGAAACTCAGATGCTGGACAACACATCCAGGAGGCTGGCTCCTCTCCATCAATAAACCAAGAACACTTGCTTAGTGCTGTCACTTCAGAAAACTGACTGAGAGAGGCCAGATAATGATCCTTTCTTCTCCGTATCTATCTGCTAGTCTAACTTCTCAGTTCCATGTTCTTCTTAAGGGGCAGAAAGGCTTTACTCAATTGTACTATTGCTGTTCAATGAGTGTTGCCACCTAGTTTAGGTACAATCACAACATGATTTCATTTCATAAGCTATGTGAGGGCAGGACAATGTCTGTATTGCTTGCTGTTTTATTCTCAGCACTTGGGGCTCTCAATGAGCATTTCTGAAATGAATGAATCCATGAATTAATGGATACATCTATCTTGAGAAAGGGTAGGTAAATTTTTACTTTTATTACTTTTCTTAGATTTTTAATTCATGAGCAGGAATTAGTGATGGGTTTCAAGGTGACCAAACTTAATGTGGTACGTACATTATTGAAGTGGAATCTTAAAAATCTCTCCTATCCATTATATGTACTGAAACATCACAATGTACCCTATAAATATGTACAACATTATGTGTCAATTAAAGTAAAAGGAAAGAAGATATATACAAAAGGGTAAATCTGTGTTTCCAATACACATCTTTTGGATGACAGCAGACCATAATATGGCATTTCACAAAAGCAAGACAAAACACAACAAAATGATCTGTGGGTACATTGACTCATGATTAAATAACACTGACACTCCTAGTAGGAAATATTTGCCCATTGGATTTTCTTTAGTTCCTTCTGTCTGGTTGGGGAGAAAGTCTCAGCTGGTGCTGGTGTAGTCTTTAACATCACACTATCACTTGTTAATCTCCCTCTTTGACAAAGGAAGAGCAGACTTCAGGCTCAGACCCTTCAACAGACAACAAGTCCAGATAGAATTTTATAGCATTTTAATGTTTATATTGTGACATAGTCAAGTTGGTCATCTATGTAAGGCAAAGGACACTTGGTGTTTTACATTTACGGTTTTGGTAAAATATTTCCCTTTTATATAAATCTAGTAAAACAAAAATGAAGGGAAAATTATTGAAAGTAAAGCATTTCATGTCTTTATAATGGTTGTTGCATAGACATGGCAAACATTTTTGATGTGGTCCACAAGTGGATGGAATTTGAGAAATACTGTCACACCTATTAAGAACAAAGAAGGAACTGGTTTTTAATCCTAAATTTACACCTTGCTAGAAAGGTGGCCTTACAGGAAATTCTTTAGCTTTTCCAGGCCTTGATTGTCCTCAGATGGAAATGGGGATGGTATGTACATAATAGTTTTGTTATAATATTTTAATGAGACAATATGTGTAGAATACTTTATTACCTGGCATTTAGGAATAACTCAGAAAATGGTTGCCATTTGTTGTTTAGATCTTGTTTCCCCATGAGCTGATGCCATTAAAGACTGACAATAATACCAGGGAATGAAAAATATGCCTTATTTTATTTTCAGATGGTCTGGCTTGATGATATCAAACCTGACGTGGCCTAAAGAGACAGACAATGGCTCTTGCTAGCTAATTATTGTCAGATGGATCAGCAGCCGACCAATACTTCTAAAACGATTGTTTTTGGCAAATGTCCCTCAACATTTTCCTGGTATATAAATAATGATCCCTTGCAGAAAGTCACTTCCTTTAGTTTCCTTGGTGTACGTTTCACAAATGGTTTGCTTTGGCAGGTTCTCCAGGAAGTCACTTTATCATAGCTACAGGTGGTTTATGAAGAATTCATTTTGGTTAAGGAGGACACCTGATTACGCCTGCCTTAAACATTTTCAGGCCATAACTATTTGGGAAGAGTTACATTCTCTTGGGTCTTGACCATCTATTCTATGTCTTGGGGCAGATTCCGAAGGAGATTCTGGGTAAAGTCTGGAAATTTTGGCTTTGGCTTAACTGGGTTATCCTCTGACTCCCATTCAAGCTTTTTTGTTGTTGTTGTTGCTCTCTCCCTCTCCGATCATCTGATACTCCAAGAGTAAAGTCGAGTAACCAGTGTTGGTGAGATGGAACCAATTGGTGAAAGAAAGAGAGAGAGAATTTTAAAGGGCTGTTGATCAGGAAAGACATATGAGAGGGTGAGGTAGCTTGGAGAAAGGGAAGGGAGTGGTGCTTGGGGGAGGGCACCTGGATCCTGGGGGCCCATTCATCACCTTTATGGGGGCAGTAGATAGGAGGGTAATGTCAGAGGATTGCTTAGTATTTGGATACATCTTCTTAGGGGCAACAAAGTCCCTCTCCTCCCAGCAGAGTTCTACCAACAGACCAAATTCATTAGCACAGAGGTTGACTGCTGTCACAGGGACGCAGTATGAGCTTGGCTTAACCAAAAGAGAAGCTCTTTCTTTCTCTAAGCCTAGGACTGCTGTAGTATGGCAGTACCATAGTATCAGTCATCCAGCCCCTTTTTACTTGTTGCTTCTCTGTTTTTTGACAACTTCCCTGTTTGGCTCAAAATGGTTTACTACCATACCCACATTTCAGCTAGGGGGAAGAAGTAAGTTCAGAGGGGTGGGCAAGGTCCTTGAGAAGCCATGTTCCAGAATTTGCACACATCACCTCTCTTCACAACCCTTACAAATACTTACCAAGCACTTCAGCCTCAAGCACAGTGAATAAGGCATATTAGATTTCTACCTTCAGTTTAAAAGGTCAATGAACATTCTTCAGGGACTACAGTCTCATTTCCTTGCCCACAAATATTTATCAAATTTTGAGAAAAACATATTCATTGTTTCCCATATTCATTGTTGTACGTGAAGAACATTGCTGAGTTCTGAGTGCTGGGCTAACAGCAAAGACAGTAGGCAGATCCTCCCTGCAGGGAACATAGTCTGCTGAAAAACAGTAATGAACAAATATGTGAGCAAACAAAAAAAAGAAATTGCAGGCAGGGCATGGTTGCTCACATCTGTAAGCTCCACACTTTGGGAGGCTGAAGTGGGAGGATCACTTGAGCCCAGGAGTTCAAGGCCAGCCTGGGCAAGATAGTGAGACCCTGTCTCTAAAATTAAAAAAAAAAAAAAAATCAAACAATTAGCTGGGCCTGATGGCACATGCTTGTGGTCCCAGCTAAATGGGAGGTTGGGGAAGGAAGATCACTTGAGCCCAGAAAGTTGAGGCTGCAGTGAGCCTTGCTGGTGCCACTGCATTCCAGCCTGGGCAGCAAAGTGAGACTCTGTCTCAAAAAAGCAAAACAAACAAAACAAAACAAAAAACAAAACAACAAAAACAAGTAATTGCAGATTGTGGCGAGTGTTTTGGGGAAAAAAACCCAAACTGAATGCTTAAAGAGAAAAGAATGAGAAATCATGCTGTTTGAATTGATGGCTTCCAAAGCTTTTTGAGGCAGTGTCATTAGAAAGCTTATCTTTGAGAAGGAGGGAGCCAAGTGAAATTCTGGGATGTTGGAATACTATACAGCAGTGAAGATGAAAGAGTCACAGCTGCATGCAACCATGTGGATGCATCTCAGAAGCATACAGTTGAGTGAAGAAAACATCGCCTAAGACTATATACACTATGATACAATTTTTTATAAACCTCAAACACAAACAACCAAGTAGCATATTATTTCAGGATGCATACATATGGAATAAAACTAAATACAAAAAAGACATGAGAATAATGAACACAAAATTCCGAATAATGTATACCTGAGTGGGAGAGAAGGAGAAAATAAGAGGATATTCAAGATAAAGTGACAGTTTTAAAGTTAGATTGTAGGTTCCTGGATGCTAGTTTTGTTGGTGTGCTTTCTAACTTATACACATGTTAAATGTATTTTTGAATACATTTAACAGTGCTTAATACAACATGTTTTAAAAACATAGCAGAGGGGCATTCAACTAAGTATCAAGGGAGTCCAGGCGGACAGTGTAAACTGGTGAAGTGGCTGAGTGGGTCCCTGGGGAACACCAGAGCACCTGCCTCGTCTACAGGGGCGCCATCGCCCAGTCCCTGCCTAGGGTTGCCATGTGAGCTTGCAGGCCAATTACCCAATAACATCCATCCAGAACTTCCGATTTTTCTTAAGGAGCCTCACATCTGACATTTGTATTTTTACAAAACACTATTCCAATGCTGGCAATGATTCCAAATTTCAAAAACTCTGTGGGGGCAAACGATACCCTTTGGGAGGCATACCAAGTCTCAGCAATAGAGGCAGTACTTGGAGGCCTATACTAATTCCATGCCCACTTGCAACAAGAATTCCTAAACGTATTTCTACCATACTGCACTGCTCGAGTGCAGGCAGGAAGGAAACCCGTCCCCTCTGAGTTCCCAGCGTGTGCTATTTCCAACCTGTGGCTTTGCTGGGTTCCTACACTTCTCTCACTTGTGAGCTCTCACCTCTAAGTCTGGAATGTGTGAAGGTGGTGCCAGCGCAGCTGAGAGCGGGCGGGCAGGAGCGCGGGCTGTGTCTCCGCCCGAGAGCCTGATTTCTGCATAGCACCCTCGCCCCCAGCCTTCCAGGCCCAGCTGTGCATGGTATTTGCAACACTCTTATTTTCCCCTAAAGGGCCATGGGGGAGGAATGGGTAACACGCAGCTAGGACCATGCTGCTGAGATCTAATGTACATCGTCTACTGTTGGGACTGAACACTTTCCATACAAGAGTATGCAGACCCCAAGGGACATTTGGCAATATGTGGAGATATTTTTATTGTCACAACTGGAATGGGGGCACTGCTCAGATTTGTGGGTGGTGGGTTGTGGGTGGAGGTCAGGGACGCTGCTAACCATCCTGCAATGCACAAGACAGCCCCCCTTCCTCACCCCAACACTCCAACAAAGAAATATTCCACTCAAGATGTCAATAGTGAACAGTGCTGAGGCTGAGAAACTCTTTTCCCTCTGTCTGCTCCCACCAAAAGACAAAGGTAAATAAAGCCACGGGCTGCCCACTCCCTGTGAGTGATGAAAGGTGTGTGTTGGGGGTGGGGTATGGTGAGGGGTGTAACATGAATTTAGAAGACATGCCCTTTAGCTAGAGCTGGGATTTGTGGCCACTATTTTGTTTTTATTAAAGCGTAATGCTCACAAGCAGAAGAGGAGATTTGTTATTCTAAAGACAGTTGCACACCAAAGCGTGCTATTGTATAATCTGGCATTTTCCCCACTAGGGAGCTATGGTGCATTACTCACGAGTGACAGAACCAACGAGCTTCATCTCCCAAGAGGCCGGTGCATCTGTTTAAAAAGAGCAGGCGCTATGCAGAGCCGCCCCCACCCCACCATCCATGGCGGAGTGCAGTGGGGGAAGGTAAGCTTCATTTCAGTCACTGTGAGGATGAACCATGCATTGATTCTATGCCCGCCCCACTCCCAATCCCCAAAAGGAGAGGGTCGAGTCCAATCGTGTTCTAGTAGCAGGACCCCAGGAGAGGAGGCAATTATTCTAGGCTTCAATTCAATAAATATGATTAGAGAAGTCCTGACTGTTTCTGTACCTCAGTTTCTCAGAAGAGCTATGCATACTAGGGCCAAGAGCTTGGGGCTTGGGAGTCAGCTGGTTGTCATCAGTTTGAATGCAGGTTCAGCGCTTACAGTGTGTGCCCTTGGGCCCTGACTTCTCCCTGAGTCTTAGTTTTCTCATCTAAAAAGTAGGGATAGTAATGCTTGTCTCATAGGGTCACAAGAGACAAGGATTATAAAGCACTCAGCACTTGCCAGGTGTGTAGCAAGGATCATTCTAGTATTCAGAGATAAAAGGAAGTCAACGCATATTCCCTTTGCACCTCGCGAAACAGTTGGGAATTGAAATGAAATTATGGATGGGAAAATACTTGGAAAACTTAAAAATGCAATTTCAGTGAAATGTAATGAAATCAATGTAAATATCAATGCAAATAGCCATAGTGTTTATTGTGCTGATCCTAATAAAATAGAAACATTATTACACATTATAATTACAGCGAGTTAGAAGTGGAAGAAAATTAGGTCTGCATTAGTTTAAACCTTCTATTTTATAAGGGGAGAAATTGACTTTAGTGGCAAAACTTGCACGAATCCCAGCCTGGTGCCCTTTTTCCACTGCCCACAGAGTTTAACTTGTAATTTGGCAACCAGTTAGAGCATTGCTGTATCAGATGGAAGGTCTCTAACTTACAGACATAAGCCTCAGTTTCTTCATCTCTAAAATGGACATAATAATGAAACCCAACTCACAAGGTAGTGATGAAGAGTGAGATCATGCAGGTCAAATGTTTAGCAGGCATGCCTAGCTCATGAAAAGTCCTCCAGAAACAGTAATTATCATTATCCTTATTAATGGTAGTAATTGAGATGCCATCTGTACATGTATCTCTCCCAGAATCTGACATCAATTGGTGAGGGGGGGAGGGGCGATCAATATATGTTCATTTGTGCGATTGCAGATAACAGTGCCTCAATGTTCTGAGAAAAATTGGTGGGGACTCTAAGTCTTCCTAAAGAATTCACCATCACATTGTCTGGTTCCTGGACATCCCAGGGGAGGACCTGGACAGGTCAATGGCATCCTTTTGTAGCTTCAGAAACAATAAAAGCTGTCTGACAGTCTAGAATTCGGACAGGGATAGAATTCTACAAGCCAAAGGCCCTGATACTAATTTTGTTCTGGTCTTTGTATTAGTCTTTTTTTACACTGCTGATAAAGACATACCCAAGACAGGGTAAATTATAATGAAAAGGAAGTTTAATGGACTCACAGTTCCATGTGGCTGGGGAGGCCTCACAATCACGGTGGAAGGCAAAAGGCATGTCTTACATGGCAGCAGGCAAGAGGATGAAAGTCAAGCGTGAGGGGTTTCCCCGTATGAAACCATCAGATCTCATGAGACTTATTCACTACCATGAGAACAGTATGGGGGACCCTCCTCCATGATTCAATTATCTCCCACCAGGTCCCTCCCACCACATGTGGGAATTATGGGAGCTACAATTCAGGATGAGATTTGGGTGGGGACACAGCCAAACCATATCAGCCTTAGAGGATTTGTGAACATTTAGGGTGGGCAGCAGAGATCAGTCGCATGTTCTCATGGCCCTAGACCAGTGGTTCCCACATTTTGGCCTGCATCAGGATCACCTGGAGAATTGTTAAAACACAGGTTACTGGTCCCATGCCCTCTGACGGTCTGGTGTGAAGCCCTATATTTTGCATTTCTTTCTTTTGTTTTTGAGATGGAGTCTCGCTCTGTTGCCTAGGCTGGAGTGCAGTGGCACGATCTCGGCTCACTGCAACCTCCGCCTCCTGGGTTCAAGCCATTTTTCTGCCTCAGCCCCCCGAGTAGCTGGGATTACAGGTGTCCACCACCACGCCTGGCTAATTTTTGTATTTTTAGTAGAGACGGGGTTTTGCCATGTTGGCAAGGTTGGTCTCGAACTACTGACCTCAGGTGATCCACCCTCCTCAGCCTCCTGAAGTTCTGGGATTACAGGCGTGAGCCACCGTGCCCAGCCTACATTTTGTGTTTCTAACGAGATCCCAGCTGATGCTGATGCTCCTGATCCAGGGACTGCACTTTAGAATCACGGTCCTGGAGCAGCATTGCTCTGCTTCAGTACTGTTGGTGTTTAGGGTACTGTAGGGTGTTTAGCAGCATCTCTGGCCTCTGTTCACTAGATACTGGTAGCAGTTTCAACAAGCAAAAATGTCTCCAGACATTGCCTAATGCCCTCGGTGGGGCAAAATCTCCTGGTTGAGAACCCCTGCTGTAGACTGAGATGATTAGAATTGAACCCTAGTCACTTCTTGTCATAGTGGTGTGACTGCAGTCATATTGCTGTGCCTTTCTAGGCTTCTTCTTCCATGTAATGTGTACAGGGATGCCAACCTCATAAGATCCAAGTAGAAACTAAGAGATAATACAGGGAAAGCCCTAAGCACAGTGCCTGTACACATTGAGCAGCTTAATTCATGTTAGTCATTGCTTTTGAGCCCTCCGTAGCAGATCTACTTAGTGCAATGTTTTTTTTTTTTTCTCCCATGAGAAAGTTTTCATATAGAAAGCATTTTCATGGAGAAAGCAGGTTCATATAGAAAGCATTGGCTGCTGGTTGGAGTGGAGAGGCTGAAGACCTTCATCTAGGATCGAGCAACCCCCAGAAAACAATTTTAAACATGTCCATTCAGACAAAGGAGTCCAAAACCTTAAGGTCCTCTCAGCATCCTGAACTAATGTCCAACTGTTATCTCGGTGAGTAGTTCCCAATCGTTAGCTCAGAGGTGACTGACTACAAAAACATATTCCAGCTTTATGAGCACACCTCCTATTTGCTAGCCAGAGTTGATACTACCGAGATCCCTTTCCAGTTTTTAGAATTTAAAACAATGAGCTGGGCACTCACATTTTCTTTCCCAACTTTGCTCTAGAAGTGAGCTTTCGAATCTGGAGCACTGCTGCGTTCTGAGTTCCCAAGCAACTCCTGTCCAAGGGTAATCTATGCTGGTACACACAAGGGATCATGGATTTTTCTTTGGCTGTCAGCTCTCAAAATTATCCAGCAATCCCAAAATGAATTTCCACTAATCTGACAGTTTTGCCTCTCCTGACATGATGTACTGTATATTCAGTGGTCAGCAGGGACTATTTAATTGCAGTTAAGCCTCTGCTGTTCATTGTGGCATTTAAAATAGAGCAATGTGTAATGTGGCTACCCTTACTGACTCTCCAGGCCCAGATGGGTGGGTGGAACTCAATTTTGGGGGGAAACTTCTACCTGGGAACATTTAGCAATTAAGTTTTACTGGCTAGCAGCTTTAATTCTTTCATTTTGAAGATTTATAAATGTTAGAATCAAAACTAACATCAAATCTCTCGACAAGGTAGAAGGAACTACGATATCAGATGAAACTGATGATGAGTTACAAATGGATTAGAAACTCAAGAAAGGAGAGATTAACATTTTCAGAGTACATATTATATGCTTGGCAGTTTTCAGGTGTTATCTCACTTTTCTCTTAAGGCATTTCAAAGAGGCAGGGACGTTTCCCCCCCATTTTACAGATGCAGAAACTGAGGCCTTAAAGGATTAAATTACTGCCCAAGACTTGTGAGTGTGTGAGCAGAGCCAAGATTTGAACCCAGGTGTTTCTGATAACAGTCTAGACTCTTAATGCCCCACGCTAAACTTCCCAAAAGATACTAGATGTCATTTGTTTTTCAACTGTTTATTTGACAGGTGGAGAAACTGAGGTGTAGACAGTTCAAAGTGACTTGCTGAGAATTAAGTTATCTCAGGCTCAGGAAATTAGCCTGTGGGTATTCATAAGTCTGATTATTAAGAATAATGCAGGGCTTTGCCGCTTATAAAGTGCTATAACTTCCATTATCTCATACTAAATTTTGGTTTTCAAGCAATTCTGTTATATGAACTGATAACTCCAAAAGAAAAGCATTTTGATAAGTGCTCTTTTTCCCACTGTTGAATCTAATGATAAATATCTGCCTTATAACCACAAAACTGTTACTGTAAGGTGCCATGAACACATGAAGAGCAAAGACCTAAGTGGATTCACTTATTCAGCAAATATTATTAAGCTTGTAATATGTGCTAAACGTTATTCCAGGCGCTGGGAGTACTACAATTCCCTACCCTAAGAGGGCTTACATTTTAGAGGGCACAAGCAGATAATTGACTAAGTCAATGAGTGAGATATAAAGCATGTCAGATCGTAAGTGTGAGCCAGCGAAATCAGGATGGGAAGGAGAGAATGGGGCACCGGAAGCAGGGATTAAGTGGAGAGGGTGATATTTGAATGAAGACATAAAAATATGAAGACAAGTTTTTTGAATATATTGGGAAGAGCATTCCGGGTAGAAGGAACAGCTAATGCTAAGTCCTTGAGGCAGTGAATATATCCTTTGTTGTGTTTAAGGAACCCTAATGGTTAGCAATGTGGCAATTTTTCGTGGACTTATTTGCCATTCATATGTCTTCTGTGGTAAAATATCTGTTCAAGTCTTTTGCCCTTTTTGGGTAACTCGTCGTCTTCTTCTCCTTCCTCCTCTCCTCCTCCTCCTTCTCCTTCTTCTTTTCTTTTCTTCCTTCCTCTTCTCTTCCTCTTCCTCTTCTTCTCCTTCCCTCTCCCCTTCTCCTTCTCCTTCTCCCTCTCCCTCTCCCTCTCTCTTTTCCTCTCCCCTTCTCCTTCTCCTTCTCCCTTTCCCTCTCCCTCTCCCTCTCTCTTTTCCTCTCCCTCTCCCTTTCCCTCTCCCTCTCCTTCTCCCTCTCCCTCTCTCTTTCCCTCTCCCTCTCCCTCTCCCTCTCCCTCTC